CAAAAATGAAAATAAGTGCGACTGATTTAGAAATATACACTAATAGATTTAATTTATAATAAACTTAATAAAATTAATAAAAATAGAATAGAATAAACTTAGTTAACCCATGCACAATATTTTTTGTTAGCTTAAACTATTCTTGCTTATGTGATGATCATAAATATTTCAACGAAAGCAATCTAGATATCCAAAAACTTCGTTGTAAATTATCATATAAAGATTTAGCTATTATTTATGAAACTTTTTTATTATAATCATAATAAATGCAAAATATAAGTGAATTCAAAACAATTTTAAATGATTATAATTTTATTAAAAAGAATTCATATTAAAATATTCTAGAAAAAAAATAAATCTCTTAAACTAATTTTGTTTAATAAAATAGCATTAACGAGAACAATAATAATATAAATTTATCAAAAAAAAAAAACTTAATTCCATTAGAACAAGTAAATCACAATTTGATTTGCAATTTATGAATACAGGAGCTACAAATGTAAGTTCGTATTAGTTTTAATAAAATACTGAAAACATAGAATTCAATAAAATTAATTCTGAATTATCTGATTCTATTAATATTATTGATTAATATGATGAATTTTAAGAATATCAAAGTAAATAAAATGTATATGTGTTCAAAAATAATTCAAATTAACTTATAACTTAAGATAAGTATTAGTAAAAATAAACAGAAGTAAAAGGCAGATATGTATAAAAAAAAGTACATTCAAGCTTTAAAAATTAAAAATAAATAAAAATAAAAATATGAGTAGTCAAAGCTTAGTTTTTTAAGAAAATATAATGTTTTAATCAAAAGTAGATTCGCCATAAATATATATGAATATCAATTCTCAATATTTTAGTAGATAAAAAAAGTAAGAAACTGAAAAGACTAACATAATAAAAACCATAACTAATCAATTTTAACAGGCGAGGATTTAATTTTATACAACTAAAAAGTTTTCTATTGAAGGAATAGAAATAATTATTATTAATAATATTGCGAATTCTTATTTACCTGTTTTACATTAAAATATAACAGCTAATTTATCAATTGGTAAAAAATAAATTTAAAAATAAATGAATAAAATATAAAAATGTATAGTATCTTAATAAGACAGAAGTCTTTTAGACGGAATAATTATATTATACTTATCATATTATAACCCTTATGTTGGTAGAATGGAGCCAATTTTAGAAAAAAGTTAGTTTTTAGTAAATTTAATTAGAGGTACTGAAGTAAACCCGAAATTTTTTTTAAGTATTCAATAATTATAATAAGAACAGAAGAATTAAAACAAGTAAGAAAAATAATAAAAGAATATTATAAAATTAACAATATCTGATACTATGATAGGAATATTAATGAATGCCTATAATTAATGGTAAAAATATATAGATTTAATTAGATAAAATAACTTATAATTGTACGAAGTCAAAAAATAGGAAGAAGAAAACATTAAATAAAAATTGTCTAATTAATAAAGCTTTTTTAAAATTGGTGATAGGTAGTCATCTTGCTATTAAAAATAAGAAAAAATTTGTATTTTTACGATATTTAATTAAACTGGGTATAAAATTACGCAAATAAAAATATAAGGAAAATTTGATGAAGTTAAAGTTGAAAATAATCAAAAAATTGATATCGAAATTGATTCCAATGAAGAAAATTTCGCAAACAATTTCAATAAAGAACTTAGTTTAGATTTATTTTTTGAAGATAGTTAAAATATTGAATATGTAATTAAAAATATCAAAATTAATAAGTAAAAAATAATTAAATATAACTGGTGGATTGTAGATTATGTGGAAGGAAATAGAATATAATGCTAAGATAAATGCTTTATGGCTTTTACTTAAGTTAAAGATACTAAAACGTTTCTTATTTTATCTTCGCCATATTTATTTTATAATCTTACTAATAAATTTATTTAAGTTTATTTATTTTATTTTAATATTTTTTAATTTTTCTTAATAGATTGTTATGGATAAAAAAAATGTTTAATAATTGATTTTATAAATAAAGCCTTAAGAAAAATATCCAATCCCTTTAGAATATATTTTAAAATATAGATTCTTAATTTTCTTTAAGTTTTATTGAAAAAAATATAAAAAATTAAAGTAAATATCAAAAAATGATATTAAAAAAATAAAAAAAATAAAAAAAAGCAAGTAAATTTGTAAGACTCGAAGAAATAATAAATAATTAAAAAGAAGATGAGAGTTTAGAAATAAAACATGGTTAATACACTTCATATTTTAAAAAAAGGGAAGATGAAGATTTTAAAGGACGAAAATTATTAATTTTAGAATCTATTTTAAAATTTTAAAATGCTTTGCCGAAAAAAATAACAATAGACATTATTTTAGAAGTAAAAAAAAAGAAGAAAAACAAATCTGAAAACTATAAATAAAATCAAGAAAACGATGAAGGAGAAGGTTTATATGAAAACGAATATTTTTAAAATGAAAAAATTTACTCAATTAATTTAGAAAAACAGGAAATTTATGAAGAGCATATGGCTTCTTATGATCATAACATTTATATATAAGTAAACTTAGAAAATATGTAAAAAAGTGAGAAAATATGTGTAATGAATGACGAAAAATTAAAAAAAAAAAAAAAATTTATACAAGAAAAAATCAAAATTTATGATGAAAATGAAAATTTATTTACTTCTGATTATATAAACTAAAATGTTTAAAGTAATAATGATAATAATTATAATAATCATAAAAAAAAAAATTAAAATTATAAAAACCTATAAAATATTGGAAAGGCTGTAAATATTTATATGAATACTGTAATTTAAGAAAATCATAATTTAAAATCTTCCACAAGAAATATCAAAGATTTTGCTAAGTAAGCATTCAAAACTTTAAATGAATAATAAATTTCGAAAAAAAAATCTTTTTTTATTTATTTCTACGTAAAAACAGTACTTATAAATACTACTAACTTTAATGATTTAATTTTTTATGATTTTGATGAACAAAAACCAAGAAAATTAGTTGGTTAGAAAATATATAAATAAGATTAAATTCCAGATGATTAAAAAATTATACTAATGAATTAAGAAAAAACACTAATGTTTTCGAAAATGAATAATATTAAGCATATCTCAAATGAAGTTAGCATAAAAGGAATTGGATAAAGCTTTATGGAAGCTAAAATTCCAAAAGAAATCAATAAAATAAATATAAAAACACAACTTTATGAATTGGGAATTAATATTAAATTAGTATAAGCTGTATAAGAATACAAAGAATATACTAAGATTATATAAGTAAACCCTAAATATGTCATTATAAATAATACTTAGTATGATTTAGATATATCATAATCTAATAATTTTGAAGAATATATGCAAATAAAAAAAGGGGAATAAAGATTAGCATGGTATTGGAAAGATTGTAGATAAGAGTAAATGAATTATTATAATTATAAAAATAAATAAAAAAATAAATAAATAAATAAATAAATAAATAAATAAATAAATAAATAAATAAATAAATAAATAAATAAATAAATAAATAAATAAATTAATAGGAAACAAATTTAAATACGAATTTCTTAAAAAGATATTAATTAAAATTAATTTTTAAATAATAAAATTTGCTTGTGGAGTGGACCTTTTTGTTTAGAAGCTATTAGAACTGTAAATATATTTTGTAATATATTTGAATAACATGAATTATATTCCTTACCATCTTCATCTTTTTCTTCTTCTTCTCATGTAATAACTGAATAATTTTTCATTAATCCCAATAATAATTTGTTATTAAATTAATAATAATAATAAAATTATAACAAAAACTAAACATATGTTGGTGCTGTATTTTTTTAAATTATTATTAGCATGAATAATTGTAGTTTTTATATAGTTATTGAAAATAAAATTAATGATAAAGATTTTGGATATGTTTTTTTAAATTAATGTGAAGATTTTATTGTATATTGTTAATAAAATTTGACTTATAATGATATTAATAATTAATCTTTTTAATTAGAAAATAATTAATTAAGATCATTTGCTTGGATTTATCCTGATTTTAAACCTGAAATTAAAATTGAATTTAAAGAAGATGATGGTTTTTTAGTTCATTAAGAAATTTTAAATTTATTTAATTATTAAACTAATAAAACTATTTCTTTTAAAAAGTAAAACGGGGACTCAAATGAAGTAATGATTTAATGTTTTTTTGAAAAAAACACAAAAATTATTATCTTAAAATAAGATAAAAATAATAAAAGCCATACCTAGAATTTATAAGAAGGATAAGAATAAAATATAGATTCTTTTGAAAGTATATACTATATTAATTTAGATCTTGTTGGAATTTCTTTTATTGCTTTTACTAAAAAAAAAAATAGAGAATTAAATTATATAACTTTATAGGGGATTACAATTGAAATGAGTTAATCAAAATTTGAGAAAAGAGTCACTAATGTTTAAATTTAATATTTGTAAATTGATAATAATTCAAGTAGATAAGCTTTAACTTAAGTTAATTTAACTCCCAAATTTAATAATTTAATTACTAAAAACTAAATAAATTATTTTGAACTTTATTTAGAAATAGAACATTAAAATTCTTCAGTAAATGTTATTTTTTATTTACTAAAATTTTAATTTATATTATGTATTAAAATTAGATTTTAAATATTAATAAATTAAATGTGTTTATATTTCCGACTACTATTAAATTAGATGAAGAATATGTAAATCATTTGTTAGAAGCAATTGATAATATTAAGTAATTTTTTTATGAATAAAATAAGTTTTCTAATACTAAAGAAATTCATTTGACAGATTATTTATTCCCAAAAAACATTTATTAGGAAATTGTATTTATTAAAAATAATAAAAATTAAATTAAATATAATAAAAAATTATAATATAAAGATCAATTAAAAAGCTGAAAAGTTTTAATTAATTAATGAATGGACTTATTCAAGTATACCTGAAATGAAATAATATATATATATAAGAGAAATGATAGTTAATAAAATAAAATTTAACATTTCTTTCCACACTAAAATTGTAAAAGAAGAAGAGGTTGAAGAAAATAAAGGATTGAAAAGCTTTTCTTTAGATTTTCTAGCAGATGCTTTAGGAACAGCATTTAAAAATATAGATGAAGCTCCAGTAAAACTTTAAGGTTTCAAAATTGAAGAATAATTTGGGACAACATCAAATATAATTCATAAAATAAAGGAACATTATCAAAAGAGAATTATTTCTACATTATTTATGTTGCTAGGTTCTGTAGAAATAATAGGAAACCCAATAAATTTATTTAGAAAAATTAAAATAGGAATCGAAGATTTTTACATGAAACCCCTTGAAGGTCTATAAAATGAAGGTCTTTTAGGTTTAGGAGTAGGAATGATGGAAGGAACAGGTTCTTTAATGAAGAATACAATTGCAGGTGCATGTTATTCAGTAAATAAATTTAGTGGAAGTTTAGCATCATGTTTAACTATAATATCTAGCGTATTTAAATATATATATATATATATATATATATATATATATATATATATTTATATATATATATATATATTTTTATATATTTATATATAAATGTAAAGGATTATGATTATATTTAATAAAGAAAAAAATTCATGCTTAATAAACCATAAAAATTATCATAAGGACTAAAATAAGCTGGATAATCAATTTATTAAAGTTTAGATAGTGGATTAACAGGTATTGTAGTTCATCCTTATTAAGGAGGCTAAAAAAACGGCCTTACTGGATTTATAAAAGGAGCTTTCAAAGGAGTTTCTGGAATTCTTACTAAACCATTGTCAGGAGCATTAGATGCTACAGCAAAAGCTGCAGAAGGTTTAACTAGTATTTTTGCTGTTTATGATGACAGGTCAAGGGATACTAGGATGAGAATGCCTAGAATAATGTATGAAAATGTATAATATTTTAGAGAAATTTCAGAGCAAGAAGAAACTATTGTATAAGTTTTATGGAATTTATTTGATGAAAATGAAGAATACGAGGTTGTGGATACTTTTATTGTCAAAGAACCTATACATGATTCTTAAAATAATTAAAATTTTAATAGATAATAAATAAATTTAAATAATAATATATAAGAATATGTAAGTAAAGCACTTGTTTTATTAAAAAATCTTATTGTATTTTTTAATTGTGAAAACAAAAAAATTTAATTCTAAATAAAACCTTAATAAATTAAACAAATTGATTTAGAAAATGACACTAATAATTAGGAAATAATAATTATAAAAATAACCTTTTTATATGGAGTATTTATTTATATTTTTAGAATTTATATTTATTTATTTTAGGAAAAAGATATAAAACACAAATATATTAAATTTAAAAGAAAGTAAATAGAGAATTTTAAAATTGTAGAAAGGTTAAAATATTTGTAAGATTTAATTGAATGAATTTATTTTTATTTTTAAATTTTAGTATAAGTGTAAAAATAAAAAAATTATTTAAAAATAACTTTTTGAGTAATATATTAATTAAATACTTTTTAGTAAAAGTAATTAAATTTTTGTAGTCTAATTAAAAATCTAATTATAATTAAATAATATAAAAATATTAAAGCATATATTGTTTTAATAATAATTTTCAAAATTTATTCTATCTATGAAATTTATGATGTTTAAAAAAAAAAATCTTTTTAAAATATTATATGTATTTCAAGTTTTTAAGTATTTTTAAATTAATTATTTACATTATGTTTTTAATTTTATTTGAATATTTTTTATTTTATAGGATAAAAAGTGGATTATCTAAATTTATTGTATATATAATATTTTATTAAATTAAATTACTAGCATTATTTAATTAATTAAAATTACTAATATCTTCAAATTAATTTATTTTTCTTTGTAAATTAAATTATTTTTCTATAACTTTTAATTAATCATTTTTAACTATTAAATATTTTTAAATAACATAGATACTATTTTATCTAAATAACTATATATTTTTATGTTTTTAATAATATTTTTGATTTTAATTTTTTTTATTTTAAACATGAAAAAATATTTTTTTTTTTAAATAAAATTATAATGAGTATAATTAAAAAAATATTTCACATTATTTATGAATTCATAAATACTATTTAACTATATTTAAAAATAGATTATATTATTTATTTGTATTCTTAAATTATTATTTATTTAAAAGAAATATATAATAAATAATAGTTTTTTACTTTATTATATTAATTTTTGTTATTTTCTATAATATATATATACATTGCATTTAAGACTAATCTTTTAAATTACTTTAATAGACTTTATATTATTTTTTTATTAATTATATGATATTATAATTATAATTATAATTATAATTATAATTTTTAATCATAAATAATAAATATATACTAATATTTTATTTAATTAAAAATTAAAAGGAGTAATTTTTTTCTTAATTAATAATATAATATATTTTTTTTATTTATATAATTTTTTATATTTTTTTACCAGTTTTAATAAGTTTGTAAAGTTCAAGATTTAGCTTTAATTTTAAATTATGTCATTTGTTAATAAATCCAAAATAAGTTTACTTTCTTAATTTTTATTTTCGACACTATTATAAATTATAAATTATAAATTTTAAATTATAATTTAACTATTAAATTTGATTATTAATTTTTTTTAAATATTTATTCCCTTTATAATTAAAAGAATAGATTTTATATATTTATTATAGCAAATCACGTGATAATTCATAATAATATCATTTATCAAATAATTTTGTTTTATTTGCATTGTAAGTATAAATTTTTCATTCTTTTAAAAACATAAAAAATTATTTCGTAATTATTAATTATAAAAATTTTTATTTAAATTAAATTAGTTTTTCTTAATTTATAGATAAAAAAATAGTTGCAAATCAATATTAGTTATAATATTATATATAATAGGTTTTTTTATTATTTTATTTATTATTAATTTTTTTTTTTTATAAATACTAGTTTTTTTAAAGTTTTATTCTGCCAATGTTTTTTATGATTTTTATTTAATTTATTTTAATATATTCTTAAAAAAATGTTGTTAATATTTTATAGTCCCAAGTAATTTTATTCGTTAATACTAACTATGTAATGCTCAAATTCTTTTACGCATTTAAAATTTTTTATAATTTTTTATTAAATTGAAAATAAATTTTTATGTTTATATATTTTTTAATCATTATATTGTTAAATATCTTAAATAATTTATTTGAAATTATATTAATTTGTAAAATAATATTTTCTATAATATTTCAAAAGTATTTGCATTTTTTAATTCTACAATAAGATTATATATCTTTTTTAGTATTATAATTTTCTAAAGTTTTTAATCTTTTTTTTAATATTGTTAAATATATTTAAATCACATAAAAATATGTCAGTAATTTATTAAAATATTTAATATCCTTTCTATTACTTTATATTTTATAAAAATAAATTCTCATTTATTTTTTATTTTCTTAACTATAATATTTTGGTTTTATATAAATTTTTCCAATTATTTGAATAAACAAAAAAAAAAAGTAAACAAATAAAAAAGTTACAAAATATAAATTAAATAAAACTAAAAATATAATGTTTATATATAAATTTTATATATGCATAGTTAAAAAATAAAAAATCAATTAGATAAGTATAGAGTTTTAATATCATTTACTCCGAAATTAGTTCTGCATATAGAACATTATCTATTTCTTAATTTAATTTATTTTTTAATGCAAAATTTACAAAAAGGATGATAACATTTAGCAATTATAGTATCTTTAATATGTTATCCACAACTACACAAAAGCAAATGTCTTTAATCTTATAATTATTATTGTAATTCTTTTACTTATTAAGTTTAATTTTTATTTATTGTATTTTCTAGAATATCTTATGTTTCTTTTAATTTTTATTTATAATTTTCAATAGAATATATATTTTCTTTATTTATTTAAAGCAAATCATCAAATTTTTAAGCCAAAAGATCATGACTAATTTTTTTTAGTATAATTAAAGGTTACTTTCTTTTAGTTCATTTTTTATTTTTTCATATTCTGTTATAAAAGTTTCAACTTATTTTTAATATTCTTCATTTTTCATTAAATGGTTTTTGTTGATTTCTTCCAAACTTTCAATAAGTTATTTTTAAGTATCTTCTTTTTACTAATCAGCCTAAATTTTTATTTTATAGACATATTTTTCTTATTCAAACTTCATATTTACTTCTAAAATCTATTTTTACAGTTATTATTCATGATCTTCTTTTTATTTTAATTATAATGTTTAGTTATCAAACGTATCTTTTAGTTAATCATAATTATTTTCTACTTATTCTAATGTTTTAAATAATTCTTCAAGTTAACTTTTTTAATTTTTAAGTTCTTTTTATGATTATTTTAGTTTTTATTCAATCAAGTTTACCTTATCTTCTCTTGCTTTTACATAACTTACGAATTCTTTAAATAGTTTAGAATTAGATTAATTATTGGATTATTCAATCATTTTTCAAGAACCTATAAAAGATCTTTAAATTTTTAATACTTAAATTATTTATCTTCTAAAAAATTCTTCCGAGAATCTTAATATTTTAACTCCATTTATATAATTATTTATTCTTACGAACTTACTTTTACATTTAGTTCTTGAATTTGTTTTTAATTTTCTTCTAAAATAGCAATATTTCTTTTGTTTATTCTTCTACAAACTTATTTTATTTTCTTTATAACTCCAAAGCGTTATTAATCTTTTCATAGTTTTCTTAAATGGGTTTAGTGTAAGTCTCTACATTGAAATTTTAATTCAAAATATTCTTCATATTTTCATTTAATTATTAAGGTAGTGCACATTCTCTAGCTTCTTGTAATTATAAAAGCAAACTTTATTTTTCTTATTTAAATTTTTCAACCAATTCATTTATTTCTTTAAATCGAAGTTTTTCTATTTCTTATATTTTTAACTTTGCAGAATATAATTATTCCTTTAGCGAATTACTATATATTAAAAGTTCTTAAGCTTAATATACGATTGAATTAAACACATTAGAATTAAAAAACTTTTCTTCTAAATTATTATTCTAGAGTTTTATTTCTTAAATCGTTTTTTGTAATTAACTTACTTCTACTACTAGCTCTTCGTTTTATTTTTTTAGCATTTATATTTCATCTTAATAAGCTAGTGTAATTTATTTGTTTGAATGAATAAATGCCTTGCTATTATTATTATTACTATTATTATTATTGCTCATTAATTGTTATTGATAATAAAGAAATATCAGCAGTATTTTACTAATTTGTTGAAAACAGATTTTATTATTATTAATTATTAGATTGTTAGTTTCCACTAATATTTTCATCTAAAGATTCATTGCTTATTTAGTTTTAATTTTTGAAAGGAGAAGTGACGTTTTTTTATCTATTTTCATTCCTAAATTCTTATTATTATTATTGTTGTTAATCAATTTTAATATTAGAATCTATAATTTATTTTAAAGCATTTTCAAATTTTTAGCTTAAATAATCACTTTAATATCCTCCACATACACATTCGAAACCCTCTGAATCTAGAAGTTCTTCATCTATTTAAGAAGAAAACTAAAGTTCGTTTTTTATTTTTTTCATAAGTGATTTTTATGAAAAATCCATTGAATTTCTAATAAAACGAGATTATTTTTCAATAATTTCTTTATATTCATTTATTTAATCCTATAAAGCTTCATATTAATTGCAACATTATTTGAAATAATTTTAAAGAAAATCCTTTTCAGTTTCTTCTAATGATATTTATTTTTTAAAATAAACTTCCCATTCTTTCAATTTCCCTTTTTATTCATTATAGTCTTTTAAAACTCTTCGAGTAGCCTCGTTCATATCATTATTTTATTAAGAAAAATATTTTAATGCACTATTAGTTCTTTCATTGTATTAGCCATACTCTATTAAAACCTCCGTATAAACAGTTTCAAAGGATTTTATGAATTATTCAACTTTTTACTTTATTATTTTCTATAAATCTTGCATTTGTATCAAGTTATTTTACTATTAATAGCTTTTATGATAATCTTTTATATTATCTATTATTTATGACATGTCACCCAGATTTTCAAATATAGCCTTAAATCTTGCCAAAAATTTATCTTCAGCTCCCTACTTTTTAATTAATTAGTTTAGCCTTTCAAGTTTTAATAAGAAATTCTTCCATCCAGAAAAAAATGAAGCATAGAAAAACTCATAATTATTTATATTGTTTTTAAAATTTTATTCATTTTATTTTAATTGGTCTAGGTCCTTTTTTTATATATCTAATCGGTTGCTCAAAGCTGTATTTGCTCTTTATAAATATAATAAATCTATTTCAGGATGTTTATAATTATCATCATCTTTATTTTATTAGTTATTTTTCCCTTTTTTCATTTTACTTTTTTTTGTTTTTGTTTTTTTAAAATATTATTCTTTTTTTTTAGAAAATTATAATTATATATTTTGATTTAGTATTTTTTTCCTCTTAATTTTATTTAAAAAATATTAAAATACAATAAATATAAATTAATTTATTTCATTCTTTTTTTCTCTTCACTAAATATTAAAAATTATATCAAATTATTATTATTTTATATTAAAAATTAATGAAATTAAATGTAAATATACATAAAATTACTATGAAATTAATATTTATTTTTATAAACTAAAATTTAAAGCAATTAAATTTATTTTTAATTTAAATCTAAAAAAAAATACAAAAAATATATAAGTATGTATAAAAATTATTTAGTAAATATATAATTATATAAATAAAATTAGATTTTAATAAAATTTAAAAAAATAAAATAAAAAAAATATGTTTAACGAAAATCCATAATTTGAAGACAAAAAAGTTGGGAAAAGAATTTTTAGAGTATGTGCAATAAATCAGGCTGAATTATAAAAGGCCGAAAAAGCTGAGGAAAAGATTGAAAAGTAATACACTAATATAATCTAAAATAGCAAACAATATTAATAATAAAAACAAGAAAAGTAACTTCAGCAATAAAGGATGCCTTAATAATCAAATATTTATCCAACAAATTAATGGAATAAAGAATTAGGAGAAAATGTACGCATTTTGAATGCCTAAGAACTAGCTGAACAGATTGATACGGGAGATTATTCTCATTTTATAAGCATTCCATTATATAAAGAAGAAAAGTTGATTCAAAAATTAAAGGACATAAGTAATAACATAAACTCAGTATTTGGCGAATAAAAATATGCGAATAATTTTCTGAAAGATTTTAGATAAATTCATATAACTTTGTTAATGCTTCGACTAAATACACCCGAAAGACAACGAAAAGCAAGTGAATGTATGAGAAATGCAGAATAAATGATATAAATATTTGGGGAAAAAACTAAAAAAGTTAACTTAAAAGGTATTTCTTTTTTCGGAAAAAATGAAAAGCAAGCTAATACTGTATATGCTTAAATCGAACCAGGATAATCTTAGGAATATTTAAAAGAAATTACTAATTTTCTCATTGAAGAGTTTTTGGATAGGGATTTGATTACATAGGAAGATGTTTAATAATAAAAAGCATAAGGCGGATAAAAAATATTCCATGTTACGATAATGCGAGGTTAATAAAAATAAAAAGGAGGTCAAATTACCATAGATGCTAGCGATATCCTTTGTTAATTATAGAATTTTGAATATAATAATATAAAAATGAATTAAATAGATATTTCTACACGGTTTGAATTTATGCCAAATGGATATTATTTACCTTTAGTAAGTATTAAATTGTGAGCATTTTATTATTTACTCATTTTTTATTTTTTTTACATAATGATTTTATATAAAACATCAATTTTATTTTTAAGAATTACCAAACACCATTTAAAAATAAAACAGATTAATTCCCTTAAAAAAAAAGGTAAATTTAGTCCCTTGATAAAATTTATGTAATCGAAAAATTGTGCTATCACATACTTATGAAAATTAAACAAAAATATTTCCAAGTACTTGATTCTCATCATAAAACATGTCTATGCGATTTCTAAATGCATAATTTTTTTTTTTTTTTTTTTGAAGCATCAAGCATTACTAGCACATTTTATTGAAAGCAGAATTTCTATTAAGGAAAAAATTCACATTTGCCTTTTTTTTTTAGGGAATTAATTTTTTTATTTTTAAAAGATTTATGCTAATTATAAATATATATTAATTTTTAAAAATAAGTATTTTTAATTATAAAATATTCTCTAAAATTATATTTTTGAATATTCTTTCATAATTTTAAAACATACAAATCAAACATTTGAAAAAATATTATATATTATTTATGAATAATGTTTTATAAAAAAATGTAATATTATTATTTTAAATTATAATTTATATAAACAATTAAATTTAGTAATATTATTATTTTTAGAAAAATTATGTTTATTTTTTTTCTTTATAATATATATAAAAACTTATAAAATAAATCTAATTTAATATTCGATTCGAATTATCGATTTGCAAATATATAAAAATGTATAAAATAGAAGTTTATATTTAAAAAATTTCTTTCATTTTGTAATAATCTAAAAATAATATAAAACTTTCCATCTGTAAATATTCACTAAAAAAATTTTTGAGGCTAAATATGGGATACTTTATAAACATTCAAGAATTTTTCTTTTTCCTTTTCTTTTTTAATATTTATAAGAGCTGTTAAAATAATAAGAATAAAAAAAATTGAGGCACTGCTAATATAAAGAATCTAAGACAAAAAGCTTTCTTAAGTTTAAAGTAAAGATTAGGTTGTAAAATTTTTAGAAGAATTAATAGCAATTAACTAAGGGTCATTTTTATCTCTTAATATAATTTGAGTTTTAATAATATTGTTTTAAAAATCATATAATTGATTCTAATTATTTTCAAAACATCCTCCGTAAATTTCCCAATTATTTTAATGATTTATTTAAGAAACCAAACATATTTATTTAAGTACGAAATCGGAATAACAATATTTATGATTATAATTATTATCTTTATTTGAGAGTTTTTTTACAATTTTTATCTCTCCTAAATTCTCAATACATAATCTTTTGCATTATTTGTAATCTTAACAAATACCATATTTTATCATTTAATTTATACTGAGTTTTTCTTTATAAAATTCTATTTTTTAAATAAATTAGTTTTTGAAATTATAATATTGATTTTCTTTAAGTTATTCAAATTTTAAATTATTATATTAATTTGATGTCTTTATTTTATTTAAATCTAAATTTGCTTATAAAAAAACATTTGGAATATATGAATAATTATGTTAAAAATTATTGTCTTTTAATACTTTTTAGTATTCCATTTTTAGATTAATATTTCTATTTTAATCTAATAATATTTATACAAATATTTAACTTTTTTATAATATTTCATCAATTTAATTATATTCCCAATTTCTCTTAGCTTAAAAAATTCTTATTTAATATAAATCATAATTATTATTTTAAAGATATAGAGAAATTGTAAGAGCTATAAAAAATGCAAATAATCCTAAAATAAAAAAGAAATAATAAACAAAAGTTAAATTGCGACTGATATTTTGTGAAACTTTTAAAAAATCGTATTTTAAAATAAATTTACATAATTGATTATAAGAATTTTTATGTTTTAAATAATTTTGTTAATACATTTAATGTCTTATATATTTTATTTATATAAAATAATGTTATATTTATTTGGTTTTGTTTTGATTTATTTTATTATTTTATAAAATTAATAAATTTAATTTAATTTATTTAAAATTAAAAAATTAATTTTTTTTGTTAAATATAAATAAAAAATTTATATAAAATTAATTATTATAAAAGAAAATAACATATAAATTTATAATAATATATTATAATTTTATAAATATATGAAAAAAAGAAAATAATAAAAAATATTCTTATAAACAATAATTTTAATTGATTTAAGTTTTATTAATAATTATAAAAAAAAAAATATCATAGCTTAATTAAATTAAAAAAATAATTTAAAAATAAAAAAAAAATATAATAAAATATATATGTAAATAAAATAAAAATATATATTTATAATATATATATATATTTTTATATATATTAATTTTTTTATATATATTTTTAATACAATTTTTTCAAAAAATTATATATTTTCTAATAATATTAATATTTTTATTTTACATATTTTATTTTCTTTAATTTTTAAATTTATGTTTTTTTTATTTTATTATTATTCTATTTATATTCATAATTTTATTATTTTTTTTTTTATCTTTTTTTTTTTTTTTCAATAATACAAATTAAAAATAAATAAATAATTTATTCTATTATATCATTTTATTTTTCATATTAAGGCTTAAAATATATTATCAATTTTAATTATCATATAAAAAAATCTTATATTTAATTACAAATAAAAATAATTATTTAGATGCCTGGTACTTTAATTGTTAAACCTAAGTGTGCAAAGCTTACATATGATACTGAATTTTTCGGTAAAATGGTAATTCAAATAAATATAATTTCAAAAATTTATAATATAATTTAATAATCAAGGATCCATTTGTAAATGCATTTGTTGGTAATTAAAAGTATACTTCTGCTGTAGCTAAAGATGCTGGTAAAAATCCATCATGGATAGATACTTTTACTTTTAAAGTAGGAAATGAAACGCTTATTAAATTTACAGTAGCAGATTACGATAATAATTCATAAAATGATTTTATAGGTAAATTACAAAAAAAAAATTTCTTTGAAAATATATTCTAAAAAAGGTGAAGGATCTTATTCTATATAAAATGTTATTTCATCTCCTGGTTGTAAAAAATAGGAATGGGTAAGCTTAAATAGAAAAGGTAATTCTTCTGGATAAATTCTTGTTGATTTTGAATTTAAATATGATGCATAATAGGGTTATCCATAATAGCCTGGTTATCCTTAACAAGGATTCCCTCCTTAATAAGGATTACCTCCTTAGCAAGGATTCCCTCCTTAGCAAGGATTCCCTCCTTAATAAGGATTCCCTCCTTAATAAGGATTCCCTCCTTAACAAGGATTCCCTCCTTAACAAGGATTCCCTCCTTAATAAGGATTCCCTCCTTAACAAGGATTCCCTCCTTAACAAGGATTCCCTCCTTAACAAGGATTCCCTCCTTAACAAGGATTCCCTCCTTAATAAGGATTCCCTCCTTAACAAGGATTCCCTCCTTAACAAGGATTCCCTCCTTAATAAGGATTCCCTAATGGTTAATAACCTATATATCCTCCTCCTTAACAACCTTATCCTGGACAATATCCTCAACCTGGATTTCCTCCTAGTGGGCCTGGATTTGCTGTTTGTCCTCCAGGACCTGGATTTGCTGTTTGTCCTCCTGGACCTGGATTTGCTGTTTGTCCTCCGGGACCTGGATTTCGATATTAATAATAACAAGGTATTATGATTTGAGGAAAGACTTTGCCTAGGATTAATCCTACCCCTGGTTGTAAGAAATGTGGAGGCGATGCTTTAGTTTCTAAACATGGAAAATAATATCCTTGTGGTAAATGTTATTCTCATGGAGGATATTGTAAAAAATGCTGTGGAACTGGTTGGAACTTTAAAAAATAAGAACATTGTAAAAAATGTGGAAAGCATTGATTTTACTTATGTATAATGATATTTAATCATATATTTTTATTTTTTTTTATTAATATATAAATTAACAAAAACTTAACATTTAAATCTATTTATTTATTGCGATATTTAATAAATTTTTTGATAAAAAAAGTTAACTTATAAATTATATATTAAATAAATAATTTACATGTTTTTTTCTTCAAATTATTTTTAAAGAATTAAATAAAATAAATATAATTTATTTATTATTATTTATTGTTATTTTTTTAAAAAAATAACTAGATTTTTTAAGAATAAATATAGAGATGTATATGATTATATTAAATTTAAAAATCAGTTTATATATTTTCATTTTTATTAATAATTATAAATCTATATATTTATCATTACTTTTACATTTAATAATTATTATAAATATATTTATTTTATTTCAAATCAATATTAAGTATTTATATATTATATGAAACTTAACTAATTTTAGCTTAAACATTTTAATTATTAAAGTTCTTTGTGAATATTTTCATTATATTTTTATTTATTATTTAAATTTTCTATAATAATCTAAAATATATTTTTCCCAAACTTTAATTTCATTCATATTTTATTTAATACACTAAAGCTTTTGTATTCCTTTAATTTCTTTGAATAAACCTAAGTAATTTAAATTAAAACCTTAATTATATTAATTATTATTATAATACAAATATTCAAAATCATATAAACACTAATTAGTTTATAAAATTTTTATATTTTCTTAAATTTTGTTTAAAATAAAATCTTTTTAATCAGTTTAATACCAAGAAAAATCTTACTTTTCTATATATTAATTATAAATATGTAAAGCTTAAATATATTAAACTATCTATATTAACTAATTTAATTATATTTAATTAAATACTTACATTTTTTAAACTAATAAATCTTTATTAGATTAGGCTATTTATTTCATTTCTTAAATAATATTTTTTGGTAATTAATCTAAAAATAAAATTTGATCCAATTTATTTGATTAAATTAACTACAAAAAATAAATTAAACTAGTTAAAAATTGCACATATTATTGATTTTATAAATTTATTTGGGAGTTCCATTTATTATTTACTTCGTATATTAATTTATCTGCAAAAATAAGTCTATTATTTAAATAAATACATATGTTTACTAATTATTAAAGCTAAGCTTATTATAATTTTTCACCAGTGATTATATATTTTAATAATGCAAGATGTATACAATATTAAAAATCAAAATTATTAGTGTAAGCATGTAAATGTCTTAAAAAATGATTAGTAATTTAACTTCTTAATATATCTAATTTTTAAATTATTTATTTTTAAATTTTAACTGTATTATTATTATTTAAATTTATCTCTAAAAATTAAACACATAGATATGTTTTCCAAATAAAAGTTAAATTATTTTCACCTTTTTATATTTCAATTGATAAATTATTTATTATTTACTCGTAATTTTATTAATTTATTTCAAAATTCACATTATTTTTGTCAAAAAAATAAACAATTAAACAATAAATACTTTCTTTAATTTTTTGGTAAAGTATAGGTATAAATTAAAGGTTTTAAGGAATATCTTTTTTTATTTTCTTATTTAAAGCTTAACTTAATGTTTATATGTTTTATTCTACAATTCGTTATTGAGAATTTTATTTATTTATATAATTTAATATCTCTTTTATTCCATTAATCCAAAATGTAATTGCTTATTTCAATTATTTAATCATTCGAATAAAATCTTTTATTAGATTTTCAAACAGACAGTGAGCCTAATAATTATTTTAATCAAGTTTTATATTTTATAAATTATATTCTGCCTTTATAATAATTTATAAAAATATATATTTTTTTAAAAAATTACATCATTTATTAATTAAATTAGCTAATCTAAATTAGTATTCAATTATTTATTTTTATTTACTGAAAAATTCACATTAGAAAAATTAATTAATTTAAAATTATTGATATTTTCCACAAATATATGAGCTGTTTCTAATAAATGTTTATCTACTTAATTTTATATTTAGATTTTTTTAAAGATAAAGTTATTGTTATCCTAATTCAAAACCTACTAAATTATAACAGAACATTTTTAAGCTTTTGATAATGCATTCATAATATTATTATTATTAAGTTCACTCTAATTAAAATTAAAGAAAATTTCTTTATTATTATTGATATTTTATATTTCTAATAAATATTCTTTTTGCAATTATTCTATATTGAGAAATTCCTATTAAAATTATTATTTTTTATTTTCATTAAAAATTAAGTTTTGTTAATTTTAAATTTCTAATATTTAATTAATAAAAAATAGCTTATTATTATTCCATTTTAAAAATTATTAGGCACTTTTATATGCTGCTAAAAGCCAATTTAACTTACTAATAATTTCTTTATATTTATTTTTTTAAATTATCCCTTTGTTAATTTGTTTTAGTTCTTAATTTATTATATTTATTTTCCTGAAATCATTTGAATTTACAAAATTTATTTAAGCCTAAAATTAAATAATCATGTTTTTAAATTATTCAGTTTTTAACAAAATTTTTTTTGTTATTTTAATCTTTATTTAATTAAAAAGTTAAAATTTATTTTTATTAGAACGTAAAGCTTTTATATTTTATCTTAGTTTTTTATTTTTTTAGTTAATTTCTATTATTTTGTTTTACAAAAGCTTTATATTATTATCGAATACTATGGAATTGCTTTCAAAAAAGCTTTCAATAAGAATTTGTAATTCTTATTAATAAGAAAAGAATTCATCCATTATTTTTAAAATATTTGTTTTATATTAAAAGTAAAGTTTAATAATTAAGTCATAATTTTCTTATACTTCTGAATAAAAATTAGTAAAAAAATTATTTTTTTCTTCTTCTCCTATTAGAATTTATTATAAGTCATATATTATCTCATCATTAAATTATTATAAATTTGTATTTATTTTATAACTAAATTCTTCTGTTTATTTCATAATTGTTTATAATTGTTATGCTTATTCGTTAGAAACTACACTTTCTTGGTCTAAATTTGCTTATTTTTTATATTATGTTATATTTAAAGTTAAAGTTTGGATATAAAATTATATTTATGAAGTTATTTCTAAACCTTTAGAGTCTATTTCTTAAACTTTTTATGAACTCTTTTCCTTATTTTGAATTTAATTTTTATTAAAGAACCTATTAAATATCACTATTAAATCTTTAATTTCTAATAATATTTATATGCATTTTTTTTTATTTATATTTAATATATATTTTACCTATTGATTTTTCTTTTACTTCATCTACTATTAATTTTAATTGTTCTAAATAATGTTATACTTATGGCTCAAAAACATAGAAATTTGTAATATTTTATAAAGGATAGTATTTTTAATGTAAGTTCTCTAATTATTTTATTAATTCTTAATATTCTTTAATTATTTTTTTCCTTCTTTCTAACATATGGGTAATATTTTCATGTTAAGTTCTTAGTTTTTAAATTAAGTTTTCATATTTATATTCAATTTATGATTAAAAAATATTTTATTATTATTCTTACTTTAATGGATTATTTTATTATTATTCTTACTTTAATGGATAATTTTATTATTTTAATTCTTTTAAATATAAATAAAAAGCTTCTCTTTAATTAGGGTGAATATAATTAAAAAAACTATTTTCAAAGATAAATGATTTATCACTGTTATACTGTTTTATTTACTTATTATTTGAGGAAAAAAACTCATTTTCTAAAATAATATTATTGTTAGTTTAATTTTAATTATTATAATCTAAATTAAAATTTGACTTTATTTTACTTAAAGGTTTTTCTGTATAATATTAGTATTTTTTTTGATTATTAGGCATTACAAAAATTATATTTTTATTTTATTTATTTGAATTTAAATGCCTTTCAGGCGACTGAAATATACTTTTATTTATTTATTATGTTAAGTCTGTTTATTTTTACTTTGTTGAGGTCATATAGTATGATCCATTTATTGACTGATTGCTTTCTATTTAAATTTATTATTTTTAAAACTTTTGTTAATCAGAAAAATTATTTTGACTGATTTCTTATGTTGATTTTAAATAATTTGGGTTTTTTTAGATTATATAATTTATTTTTTGTTAGATATTTTAATCACTTTTTTTTTATTTTTAATTTTTTATTTATTTATTTTTACTCTTAGGCATATATCTATTATCTTTATTAATTAATGTTTTGGTTTTGATTATAAGTTGGTTAGTTTTCATTTGGTTGGTTACTTTAATAATACATTATTATCAAAATATATTTTTATATTTATAATATGTTATAAATTTGGAAAATAAAAAACCAATAACTTTATTATTTCTATATAATTTTATTTATAAAATTATATTTATTCAAAAATTGATAAAAATTTTAATTTTAAAAATATTTATCAATAAATTTAAATTAAAATATTCAGTTTAACTAAAGTATTTATAATTTTTATTAATTTGCTGTTTTCTTATTTATTGATTTTATTTTCCTTATTTCAGATAAATTTACTTTCTTTTTAATTATGTTCTCTACCATTTATTATATTAAAAAATAATAAATCGATAAACTAAAAAATTTAAATAATAAATAAAAATATGATATCCTTGAGAAAAACGTGTAAAAAATACATATTGAAAAAAGCTTTTTTTTATACGAATTTTCAACCTTATTAAAAAGATTATTAAAATTATTAAAAAATATAATAAATTTAAGATTAATATAAAACTTTAAACTGAAACTAATATATTATGTAAATAAATTTAACAAACAATAATAAATATAAATTATAGAATTACAACATATAATAAATAGAATATTGAGAAAAATATTGAAAATAAATACAACTTTTTATAAAAAATAAAATAAAAATAATAATTAAAAATCATTAATATATAAAAATTGGATATAGTATATTTTCATTAAAAGTCTTTTTAAAAAGCCTAAAATTTGTTTTATAAATCCAAATTAATAAAAGAAATTCCTAATATATATATCTGAAATTATAATAAAGGAAAGAATAAAAAAAGATATTTATATAATTTTTTTTAATAAACTAATCATTTATTATGAGTATAAAATAAATTAAAAAATATTTAAAAATATAAATAAAGGAATAAC